GCTCTGAGCCCCTTCGGGGTGGCCATGGTCCTAGGTGGCACCCTTTATTCAGTGACTGGTCAGAGCAGGAGTGCACAGGCTGGGCCACCTTGCCTCAAAACAGGTCAACTTACCAAGCAATGGTCATTCTGGAGCTCTGGACAGATTGGTGGAGTTTTGCGTTTTTGTCAAGTTTGCATGGTCTGTTCCTCTGCGCAGTGTGATTCCTCCCCCTTTCACTTCTCAGGCCTCGATCCCCACTAAACATCTGCAGCCTGAACTCTATCACCCATAAGCTACTAGAAAACTCAACTCATGCTAGCAGAAAGGGACACAAGCAGATGAACATAAAGGGCAGAGGGAGATGAGAAAACTGGCAGATAGCCGGGCTCAGCTTGGTGGCCACTGAAGTGAGGAGTCCCCAGGCTTCTGCCAGGCAGGTGAATGGGCAAAACTGCAGGGTCAGGGAGGCATTGGTCACACAGTGGGGAGTAGGGTGGGGTGGGGTGTGTGTGAATGACCTTGATACCTGGTTCTCCTCAAGTGTTCCTGGGGGCAGGAGGTCAAGTCAGGGTGTGGGCCAGCAAAACAAATTCAACTCTTCAATAGCAACCAGTATCCACAACCCCCCAATGACCTGGGAGCCAACTCATTAGAGAGCAGGTAAATAATTTCTCCTGGCTGGAAAGAGTGATGGCGAGGGGCGTGTCCTATCTATGTGTATGTGGCAGGTGCTCAGTTAATGGTTGGACTAAATACACGACCACATTGATGTTAAAAAGCCTCTGCAAGGGCCTCCCCTGGTGGTGCAGCGGTTGAGCACTGGGCACCGGTTCGATCCCTGGCCACTGGCGAGGGGCCCACCAAAAAAAAAAAAAAAAAAAAAGAGAAAAAGCCCCTGCAGCTGAACCAGGGGGCAGTGGGATTGTGAGTGCTGCTTGCTGTTGAAGAATTGAATTGGTTTTGTGGCATCCAAACCTTGTCTACAGCTCTGAAGACCTTGCAGTGCTCAGGACTCGGGTGCAGAAAGCAAAGGCTGACAGGCACATTTCCAGCCAATTTACATACATGTAAAGCTATTTGACTGGGTACCGATTTCTTTGCTTGTCTAGCATTTCCCTGTTACAGTTGGCATGGCATGGAAAATTCTACATTCTTCTTGTCAGTCTGCTCTTGCAACCTATTTTTCAAACTGTCTCACAAATGAATTTCAGAAACAATGATCAAGGGGACAAAAGTGTGTCTTTGTGTGTAGAGGAGGAGATACCTTGAACATTTGTCCTCCACAGTGATAAACTTGTGTCTGAATCTTGCTGGGAAAGGAAAATACGCATTTAGGTTTGAGATGGAAAAATGGCTTCCCCACAAGGACAAAGTTATGGAATTTATAGATTTTAGCACCCAAGGCAATCATAGCTGATGGTTAATTCGTAATGAAAGCTAAGCGTGGAGTAATTTTACCTGATGTTTCAATTCTATTTTGTCTTAAATACAACTTAACAGGGAGAATGAACATTTTAGAGACCCAGAGAAATGATCTTTTGTGAAATATTATTAGGTTTGGTTTATGCCGTAGGTGAAACTTTCTGGAAAAGACAGCTGAACGGGTCTACCGATTTGCATTTCTTACATAAATATATTTGCAATTTCTGGAGGGACAATTCTTTATATAGTGTAAAGTGTAGTTCATTGTGCTATTTCTATGTTGCATCCAAATTTCTGAGAGGCCTTAGAGCTATGACCTCTGAGGAGAGCCACAGACAGGCAAAAATCAAGACAAAAGCATAGGTTTTTATATCAGTTTAGCAAAATGATTCCAAGAGAGTTTGTTCTCATGGGAAAGGATCTGGTCAAAGAATTTCCCCTGCCTTTCCCCATACAACCTGCTTTTACACTGAGACATATTTGCAGTCAATGAAATCTTAGTATCCAGATTATACTCCTCCCTCCTTTTTATTTAAACCAAGGCCTTGTCTAGCTTCAGTCTTATTTCTTGTCATCTGGCCAATTTGCAGAAATGTAAAGTTGACTCTTGCAGATCTCTTGACTCTTGCAATCCTGCAGGCATGTACCAGCCCAGCATCTTCATTAGGCACATTTCTGGTCTTCCCTGTGGCCAGGTTGGGAATTGGGCATCAACACAAGTGTCTGTGTCACCCTAGTGGGTAATAAGATGCCTTGCAAACTTAGTACGTGGGTCTTATAGATGATCAGAAACCAAGCTTGTCAGTGAGTGAGAAAGTAGGTGTCTTACCATGTGCCATGGGCCTCCCCTGCCAATTAGCGGGGACTGAAAAGACTTGGGGAAGACAATGACTTGGGGTGGATGAGTTTTTTTGCTCTGTAATCTAAGGGGTGGTGAAGCTGGTCCTGCAGCTCTGCTTATTTCCCCAGTGGGACAGTCTGGCTGCTATTCTATTCTGTTAAGAATAACTATAGATCGTTCAATGTTCCATCTTGATATCTTCCTCATCAGGAAAGATAATTTCTTCTGAGCCATACATTATTTAAATGATTATTAATCCCCAGTGCAGATGGCCATAACAACAATGAAAATTTACTGAGCATCTACTATGTGTGAGGCACCCTACACAATACTTACAGAACTGTCATTGAATGTTTCTGATAATTTCAGGATAGAGACATCCCTATTCTCATTGACAAAAAGGAAACTGGGGTCTAGCGAGATTGCGTAATTGTTGGAGGTCACACAGCTACAGTGTAAGAGCCACCGGGTCTGTGTGTTCTCACAGTCCTTGCTTGCAATCGCCTGCGGAACTCTGTCAGAACACAGCAAGGTGGGGCAGGGGCTGATGTCTCAGCCATCTCATTACTGCCATGTGCATACGTGCAAAAAATTCTCTAGACCCAGAAGAGCTTGACTATAAACAATATGGGTCATCGGCTGAATTAGATATTGCTTAGATCTTAATATACGTTAATTATATGCCTATTATATATTCATCAAGTAGGTAGTAACTCATTGTTTATAATTAATTGCCTATTATTAAATGTTAAGCAATGATCGTGCCAATTTAAACTTCTACCAGGATTGTAGAGAATTCTGGAAATTTTCACATCAGGAGTAGGTGTTGTTCATGTTTTTTTTTAAATGGATCATATGATGGGAGCTAAATTCCATCTCATGGAGGTTTTCATCTGCATTTCCGTCGTTATAAATAGGTTGTACATGATATTCGCCATCTGAGTTTCTTCTTCTGTGAATTCATGTATTTTTGTCCTTTTTTTATTTATTATTTGCCTAGTTAAAAAAATTCGTTTGTAGGAATTATATAATCTGGATACTAAATTTCATTGACTGCAAATATTTTCTCTGTTAACATTCTCTGTTAATATTTTCTTTGTTAACATCAAGGTGCTGTTACAAAGATTTGTGCTCTATAATTATACTTATCTATGTTTTTTGGATTAGATATTTTTGTGGATTATTTATATGTCATTTCCTGTATTTTCTCCTAAACTTTTAAGCTGTTTTTATACTTAGGCATATAGAACATTTGACGTGTGCTCTTGATTTTGTTACCTTTCTTTCATTTGAGGTATGATCTAGTGTTTGCACAAAATAATAACAAATTCTCTCAGCACTTACTGTGAGTGTATCCTTTCTCCTTTGATGTACATTACTTTTTTTTTGCATGTAGAAGAACTGGGGTGTAGGCCAGAGGGCGGTGTGTGTGTGTGTGTGTGTGTGTGTGTGTATGTGTGTGTGTGTATGTATGAGGATTCACCAGAGAGAGTGGGTCTGCTGCACTATAAGTGGGTTAGTTCCCTTATGGGAGATCAAACTCAGGCCCTGTGGTATAGTGCAGAGACATAACCCCTAGGCTACCAGGGAGGCCCTCATCTACAGTACTTTTCTCTCTATCACGTTTCCATGCACTTGTGACTTTCTGAACCTGGTCTCTTCTTGTGCCAATACTGATCTAGTTAATATATCTGTATCATAAGAAACTGATGATGCTTTATTTGTCTCCAAATGGCTTTTGTTGTTCTTAATCATATGGATTTTAGCCTCCGTGCTCCAATAATCTACTAAAAAATGAGGTTATTGCCTGATGTTTGAGATGTTCAAGGGCTTATCAGATAGTGTACTGGTTTATTAAAGTGACTCACCTGTGGTTCACCTGAGCTAGCTTCAACCTGAATGTTGAAGCATATTTAAAAACACTAATTCTGGACTTAATTAAATAAAAGCCAGGACTTCTGCCAATTTGAGTAGAAAACTGAATCTGAAGTCTACAGGTCACGAGATAGTGGCTTTGGGGCACTGTAATTGTAGATAAGAATTACATGAGCTCATATGAATCATCGGAAAAAGAGAGTGGGTCCTGCTTACACTATAACCTTCCAGATGAAGTTCACCAAAGGAGCCACCAGAGGTCAGAATGAGCACGAGAGTCCTGGCTTCTGCCTAAAGGAAGATGGACTCAGCGCCCGCTTCTCAGTCCTAAGGCTTGCTCAGTGGGTTGAGCAGGTACACACTTTTTTTTTCCTTGAGAGAGTGTTTCAGATGCTATTCAAGATGCTGTTTCTTGCTGGTCTTATCTCTATTGAAGTATTTTTTCCCCTAGTTCAGTGAAAATGAAACTCACTTCCTAATTGTTGAGATCAAACCTTTGACTTTAGTTGCAAGGAAATGCTGTTTGATGAAATTAAAAAGAAGAAAACCTACTTCAGCCACTTATCAGAATCTCAAACGCCCTAATGCAAAGTCAAGTCACCCACCAAATGAAAGAGGGTGATATTTCCAAAGGGGCTATTTTCTGGCTGACCATGCTATTTTGTTTCACTGATAAAGAATCCCATTCATTTAATTGAAAGCTGATGGGTGTATTCATAACCTGGGCCTGTGCCTGTGTGTGTGTGTGTGTGTGTCTGTGTGTGTGTGTGTATACCAGTCTACCTTTACTTGTTGTGCCAACACAATGTGCCTTTCTAGAGGACTGGTTTTTCATAAATGGAAGGCATAGCATGTTTTATAATAATTCCCTTTGCCCAAGGAAACAAGCCAAGAGACTACAGAGCTTTTCCATCCAGGCTACGTGGAAGGACAGAGGCCAAGTCTTCTGGGAGTGAAACTTCATCTCAGCCAGTCTTGCCGGACGCCTGTTGTGTGTTTTTCATTGTTGGAGCATCTCAGAGGTCACTCATTTCTGAATCTAATTTGGGAGAGATGCCTTCATGGGGAAGTCATTCAAACAGCTAAAAGACAAGGTAATTTAAGTGATTAAAAGTGATGTTTAATAAGCACTTTGAATTTGACTAAATACACAGTATCAATGATGATGGTGATCATAGTTTACTAGAGACCTTCTTTTGGTTCCCCACGGGATTCTTCCACCTTTGTCTCTGGGAAGACACTTGCTACCCTCAGCTTGAAGGTGCTCACCACTGGGCTGTCTCCCTTGACTCCCCAGGAGCAGAGACCCAGGGCTAAGCACCAGCCTGGAACTGCACTCACAGCACAGTCCAGCCTATTCTTGCCCAACTGAAGCGAAGGCCAGTCCTCTTTCCCCAGCCCCCTAGAAAGTCCCTGGTAGGCACCCAAGATTCCAGTTCACATCACAGCGCATACACTGCGCTGGTGCTTGGGGCTTCAGCCATGTGGTTTAACTCTGAGCTGGCATCCAGTTGTGCCCCTTCTCCTGAGTCCTGTGATACCTGAAAACTGATTCACACTAGCTTCAGTCCAAGCCTTTGACACTACAAAAAGTTGAATTTTCCTCATTCAACATAATAAATGGTTGTCCTGTGCATAGGAGTTTAAGGTTTATGTCTTGGGAGGCAAGAAAGGGTAATGAAAAGAACATGGCTCTCTCATACATCAGTAGGTCCTCAGATACTTGCCACATGAAGGAAAAAAATGAACAAGCGATTTACGGGGTTGGAAATACTAAATACACTAAAAAATCACACATGTATTAAGTGTTCACTGTATGCCAGGCACTAGGCTAAGTGCTTGCTTTAAAGTTTTATCTCATTTGCTCTTCAAAACTGCGTATTTTACAGATTAAAAAACCTGAAACTCAGAGAGGTTGATTAAGTCTCCCAGGGTCACGCAGCTAATAAGTGATTGAACCTTGATTTGAGCGCAGGCATTTTGATGCCAGTGCCTGTGCGTTCAGCCCCTACCAGATGGCAAAGCTCCTGGCCTGGGGACACATTAGATCAATACTTGGTGTGCCCTCCCACCCCAGTCCCTTGTCCCCTGCCCCCATTCCTGATGTTGCTGCATTATTTCTAGACAAAAAAGTACTTCTGTGAAATAATGTAGGCCTAAAAAATGTTATATGCCTTTCTATTCAACTTCTGACCTTTCCAATCTTTGTCTAGTTAGGGAATGTCTAGAGGGTACTGTATTAGATGCGGAAAGAACCTTGAATCTCCAAGGCAGTGGACCTTCTGAATTGTGGAGACCATCAATCAAACTGGGGTTCGAAGTTGAGACCACCTTGGCCGTGACAATGACTTTCTCTTCTCTCTCCTCCCAACAGCATCAGACTCGCCCTCAAGGCCTAGGTGGGGAGCAACTTCAACTTGGGGTGCTGTGGGGTGTGGGATAGAAGCCAGAATTTGCCCTCCGCAATCTGGCCAGAGCGATAGAAGGCATCTTTGACCTGAAGAAGTGTAATACAAAGAAAATCCTAATTGCTACAGCAAAGTAATTAGAAGAGCCAACCTGTAAATCAGAGTTCGGCCACCTCTTTAATTACGTGCACAATTAACTAGGTGACTCACACATTCTTCCCTAGATGAGCATATTTAATACCCTGGAATGGCAACAAGTTTCCAACTGATTTATCATGATTTTGTTTGGTCAGATGATTTTTCTGCATTTGAATGTGTTTTGTGGTTACATATTTGCTGTGAACAAACAATGCTTTTCCCAGGTAGTGTGTGGAGGACCGGCTGCACGATTTGTTTACCATTCTTTCAGGCCTCTCGGAAATCAAACAACATTATGTACTTATTTTTAAGTAGCTGCACTAAAATCTTAAATAGCCTCCTGAGAGTCTTGCTTTCTCTGGCAGGACGTACACACGTACCATAAAATGTTTGGAAGGTGATCGATTTCCTGACACGAGAATGTGAAGTTTTGATAGGAAACTGTAATAACCACATGTACTAACGTCACCTTGCTCTGGCATTTTAATTCAAAGGATCTAAAGACATCGTATGGTCTGAGAGTAGGCACAACACTGAAATTTAAAAGAGCAGTACCAGTAATAGTACAAAAGGAATTTTCAACATGCGTGGTCAGACTCAGTGGCGAGGGGCCAAGGCCCTGGGGTGGGGAATCAGGTCGACTTTGGTTTGGAAGCAGGCGCTGCCTTTCTTAGCTGTGTGGCCTCATGCAGGTTTACCTGCACTGGGGCTAAAGTTCCAGAAAGGACCCACTTCCCCCCGAGCCCCATGCAGAGTGGCTGTTGAGGGGTCCAGGCTGTGCCTGTGAGTCCCTGCAAGTGCCTGGATCATAGGTTCTCAGCAAGTGCTAGCTGCACCGCAGCTGTGGCCTGAAGAAATTCCACCTTCCTGGAAAGAAACTGAAATCAGACTCCAAAATCCTTGACAGCAATTGTGTCTCTCTCCAGAACCCTTTCTGGAAAGAGCAGCAGAGGGAAGGTTCTACACCGGCACACGGCTGAACTTCTCAGATACCTGTTTTGTTGTGTTTTTCATTTCTCTGCCCCTTCTCTCCTCCCCAGATCCCACCCTGCAGACCACACCATGCCCTCGCCACAAAGCTATCAAAAGTCTGAGAAGCTGTCACTGTGGATGGGGATGAGCAGAATTTACTTTTTGTTTTTCCTTGAAATGTTTGGCCTGGAAGTGTAAGGGTCTGTTCTTTGAATACGCCCTCTGAAGAATTACAGATATGCCAAGGACATCAGAGGAAGGGATGGAAGCGCCAGAAACAAGCTGGCAGGACCCTGCGGGAGAAGAGGCAGGGGCCAGGGGACCCACTGTTGTTTTCAAGCAGTTCATGGAGGAAAAGGAAGACTTTGAGGGTTGGGGCGGAGGGGCCTGCTGTCCAGTAATACCCTAAGTCAGTGACAGCCGCGGGAGACCTCTCTGCCCTGGTGGATATGGGGTTGTCACCGTGTTTCTTGATGGGACTAGAAGTAAAAGCAGAGGGGTCTTTGCAGAAGGTCGATTTTAAAGATTCTCCAATGCAGGATTTTACCCTCAGAGCGTGGTTTTGGATATAAACGGGGAGACTCCGCCCCTCTCCCCTGCTCTCCTCCTGAATCTGTCTAGGGCTCCCCATCCTATTCAGTGCGAAGAATTTCACAGGAGGTAAACAGCATCTGGGCATCACTTACCTCCTTTGATGTTTAACACAATTTACAATGAAAGCTTCAGAGACATTTAAAACCGTGCAAGGTCCTAAATCATTAAAGGAATGTGGTGCTAGACTTAAAAAATGATAATTGAATGCATTCAACAATAAAGCTGCCAAATTTTAGTGGCCTGCTTGCTAGAGGCTCTTTTGGAAAAACTGAGCTGGATTAAACACACACACACACACACATGCACACACACACACTCACACACATGGCAGAACTTCTGAAATAAGAAATTGTTATTGCACAAATTGAACATAGATCAAATGCAGGTAAGAACAAAAAATAAAACTAGATTCTCTAGTGGTATACCGAAAATGCTAAATGATCTGAAAATAATCACACTGGGCACTTTTGGGGGCACTTGACAGACCTGCCACCTACATCTCTGGTCTCTATAATCTGATTTGGATGAATATATATCTATTATGGTCATATACTATATATATATATATCTCCAAAGGGTGGATCCACAGGGTGAACCGCAGCCTATTTTGCTGGGGACAGGCCCAATTTATGTGTTACCCTGATGTAAAATTAAAGAAAAAAATCTATGGAAAACTTCCAAAATATAGCATATATATGTTATATATAGAAAAAAATACATATTCTATTATAGAATTAAAAAAACCCATGTATCCTCATTTCTTTTCCTGCACTATTTTAAAATGAATCCCCCAATCCTTTAAGAGAAAAACATAAAAAAAAAGTATCCCCACAATACTCTTACTACACCTAAAATTATGAAGAGAATTCCCTAGTGATATCAAACATCGAGTCAGTGTTAAAAAATGCCAGTTTTCTTGCAAATGTGTTATGAAAGCATATCCCCCCAGTTTTTGTTGCTTTGTTTGAACTAGGATTCAAGGAACACATGTTGTGATGTTCCTGTTTATTAAGTCTCTTTCCATCTCTGGATTCCCTCTCTGGCTCTGTTTTTTCTTGCAGTTGCTTATTTGTGCATCACTGTTAATGCATGGATTTAAGTATATTTTGCATTTCGTTGTCTTTATTGTTCTTATTAATGCTCACATGGTCCTGTGTTTGGTCGGTGGTCACTTCTTCAAGTTGCTTCTTGAGTTCTCTGGCAAGACCCCCCTGGCCTGCCAAGCTTTCCTGCACCTCAGACATGAGGCTCCAGAGCGATGGTGCACGTGGCTCTGGCGCAGGAAGCCATGTGTGGTCAGTAGGACGTGGCGCCTAGAGACCACGCTGTCAACTTGGGCAGCTTGTTGTGGTGTTGGTGATGGTCTCTAGGTGTTTTCAGGATGACAGAATTTTTACTTAAACTTTTGGTGTTAGATTTGTCTCTCCATTTTTTCACACCAGGAAATCAGTCCTCATGCCCACATCTCTCCCACCATTTTGATGTTGGGGAGTTTATCATCAAACAGATTCCTCAGTAGAGCATATTTTGAGTTCTTTTATGTTCATAACAGTTTTTCTGCAATGTGTGTATTTCCTTGTTTTTTCTTTTAAAGAGCTATTTATTTATGCATACAAGAACTGGGGTACAAGCCAGAGGTGGGGGGGTTGGAGAAGATTCACCAGAGACAGAGTGGGGAACAGAACAGGCAGATTGACTGAAGTACACTGCTGAGGGGAGCAGTGGGTGAATCAGGAGAGGTCTGCTGTGCCATGTGGGTCACCTCCCTGGGTGGGGATCGAACTCCTGCTGTAGCTGCTGCGCATAACTTCACAGGTTGCATCTTAACCCCTCCTGCCACCAGGGAGGCCCTGCAATGTGTATATTTCAATGTCAATTTGAATAAAAAGATAAAAACTATTTTCTTGATTATCTTACACATATTCCTCCATTTTTCCCCCCTGAGATAAAGTGCTGCCACTGAACATTATCTGATGGTAATATTAGGTTCTTTCTAAGTGACTTGGCCTTTTCTGGATGCCTAAAGGATTTTCTTAAGGTTTATTCATTTTCAGGAAGACCATTAAATCTTGGTCTTTATGAGTTTTCTTTCTTTTTTTCTTTTTTCAGGTTCATTGTATGTCCTTTCAATTTACAAGTGACCTTTTATTTTGGGAAACTCTTTTTGAATTTTAGTTTTCGATATTTGATCTACTCCACTACTTTGTTTTCTTCTTTGAGGAGGTGGGGGACCTCCTATTTTACATATGTTGCCTTTTATTGTGGTTGCCTATCTCTACCATTATTATCTGCCATTGTCATTTGACTCTTTTTTATCTTTGTTTCTTTTTAATTTAAAAGTTATTTTGCGTTTATAGTTCACAAGGCATTATATGTTATGTCTGCTCATTTATTTCATACAATTTGACCTTCACTTATGAAATTATTTTTTTATTGCTAAAATTTTCCAAAGTTCCATAACCTCATGTCTGAATTTTTAAAATTAGACTTTATTTTCCATAATTTACCTTTTTATTTTCTTAGCTCATTTTGAAATAAACTGCATTTCTAATGTATTTTATGACATGTCTTTCTGGCATGCTGTTTTTTTCTTTTAAAAAATAGCTGTGATTCAACTACAATTGTATTTGTTTTTGTATTATTATGTAAAATGGGTTTTCCTTTACTCTAAGGTGGGGATGGGGAGAATCAGAACATTTTTTTCTAACTTCATAGTTGTAGAACAATCACTTCTATTTTTTGCATAGAGTGTTAAAAAATTTTTTTTTCATAGTTCTGAAAACTACTCCCTACATTGTTTACCCAGTTTTATCCAAATCTAATTTTTTTTCTTTGCTGTTCCTATTCTGGAATCTACTTTCTGTGAGAAACTTTAATCTGGTAGGAAATTTTAGTGTATTTTTGAGCGTTCACAGGACCCTTGTGACATGCTCATAAACCCCGACACTCACCTGAGAATTGGATTGTGCAAAAGTCCCTTTCAGTTTCAATTGCTGTTTTCAAATGAACTGCCCTACTTCACTGCATACCTGTTTGGGACTTTGGGATTCTCCTGTTCTCAAGTTCATTCCATGTCCCACAGCCCCCTTTTCTTTCCCCTACACAGACTGTGCTGCCTAGGTCTTGTCGCTC